CTGGCCTGCGCCGCCCAGGCGGAAGGTAACGCCAAGGGAGTGCTGGCGCCGGGCGCTTCACCCCATCCCAGACAGGGCGAGCAGGGAGCAGGCAAGGGGCGAGGTGTGAACACAGAGCTGGGGCAACTCCCGGCTCCCAGCTCTGCCCAGCCTTGAGCTGAGCTGCTTCCACAGACCGCAGGACGGGTTAGGGGGTGGCACTGCAGAGCTCTCCCTCTCCTGGCCCAGGCTGCACGATATATCGCTTCTGCAGTGCCAACTGGCTGCCTGGGGCATTTTCAACGTGGGATGTTGAGTGTTGTCCCCTCTCACAGCCTGGCTCCTTCATCACACAGGGATTCCTGCCTACATCGTGGTGCCCCGGACAGCACCACACTGTAAGAAAGCCGCCATCCATGCTTACGGTGCCACGCTGGTGCCGTGTGAGCCCAGCGATGAGGTAAGGCACAGAGATGACCAGCCAGGGACGCATGTCACAGCCAGGCTGTCACAACTGTCTGGGCTTTCCCTTAGTCCAGAGCCAAGACAGCAGCTCGCGTGGTCGAGGAGACGGGAGGAGTCATGGTGCACCCCAACCAGGAGCCAGCAGTGATCGCGGGGCAAGGCACCATCGCCCTGGAGGTGCTGGAGCAGGTGAGGGAAACCGCACACCTCAGAGCTGGCCCCAGGGCAGCAGCGTAAGGGTGTACCTGTGGTGCCAAAAACACTCACGCTTTCTCTACAGGTGCCTGAGGTAAACGCCCTGGTGGTTCCCATCGGGGGCGGAGGAATGATTGCTGGAATAGCAGTTGCTGTCAAGGTAGGCAACAGCAGCACATCTAGGAAGAAGCAACTGCATCTCCCTGCGGGAAGGGTTGGGTTCCCAAGCAAGCAGCAAGTTGTCTCTTTAGAGACAGAAAATCCCGAGCTGTGGAAGTGTCCGGGCTGCCTGCGTTCTGCACGGCACGCCTGGCAGCCTGCTCTCGGCCCTGCTGCAGCCCCCGTTAAGGCTGCACTGCAAGCGCACTCACCCCACGCTGAATACAGCAAACGCAGACAGGCACGCACTCGTTTAAACCAAGCGGCTCCTTGTGCTCTCTGCAGGCTTTGAGACCAGATGTGAAAGTGTTTGCTGCTGACCCTTGCAATGCAGATGACTGTTATCAGTCCAAGCTGAGAGGGGAGCTCACCCCCAACCTGCACCCCCCAGATACCATCGCAGACGCGGTTAAGACCAGCATCGGAGCAAACACATGGCCCATCATTAGGGATTTAGTTGATGATGTCCTGACAGTCTCCGAACAAGAAATCAAGGCAAGTACTCTGTGGCTACTCTTACACCATAGCCGCCAGGAGGCAACTGCCTCCATCCATGCTCTGTCCATGCATTCTCACCCCTACGCTCCCCCCGAGGGCAGCACAAGCCCCTGCACACCACAGCAACCATGCGACACCCATGCTGTCTCCAGCTGGAAAGCACTGGCAACAGCTCTCCTCTCCCTCCCCAAAGTGCCACAGAGAGTCTGCACATGCAGTGCCCTCCCCAGCCCTAGAGCAGTATGTACACGCTACAGGAATGACCGCTGCTGCTCTGTCCCGACAGCAAGCAACGCGGCTGGTGTGGGAAAGGATGAAGCTGCTCATTGAGCCAACAGCAGGTGTGGGAGTTGCGGCCGTGCTCTCGGCGCAGTTCCGGGCAGTCTCCCAGGACGTACAGAATGTTTGCATCGTGCTGTGCGGGGGAAATGTGGACCTGAGCTCCTTGACCTGGCTCACAGACCTCCCTGGGAAAGCGGAGTGAGAACAGAGCAGGGTCACAAGTGGCAGGAACCCAACGCTGAATTTGTACAGCCTGGTTTGTGCGCTATTAAACCAGATGAACAGCCTCAAACGTTTGTGTTTTGGGGGAGGGAAAAGGGAAGCTGGTGTTGGTCTCTACAGCACAGAGTCACTTTCTTCCAAAATCACTACTGTGGGGGGGGGGGTACACAACACCTGGAAGCAAAGCACTGCCTGCTCTTCCCTTCCCAGCCACCCACTCTGGGACAGGCCTTGAGCGAGCTGCATGCAGTCTTCCCAGCTGCTACTTCACATTGCTTTCTCGGCCTCAGAAACCAACAAAGTTCAGTGCTGGGGCTATCCTTGATACAACAAAATCCCTTTGCCAGCAAGCTTGGTCCACTGCTACGGCAGGGCGAGAGCGAAAGGCAGCAGCCCTAGTGGGTCAGGGGTTCACAAGATGGTTGGGGGAATGCAGCCTCCCTCCACAGCCAGACACCACCAAGACAGAGGGACTTCCATGTTTTTGAAAATATTTTCCATCAAAATAAATAGCTGTAGCTGGTACCTGAGCAGCAGCTGGTGGGAAAGCCGCCCCCATACAGACCCCAGCACTAACGAGTCCAAGACAGATCAGCGTTGTCCTCACTGTGTACCGGCTGAGAGCAGCATCCAGGGAGCTAAGGCACTAACTGCGTTAGCCATGCTGGGCCTCCAGACTTATTCCATCTCCACCTCGTCTGCCAGGGGCACGGTCTCATCCCTCACCCATGGTACAGGCTCCGGAACATGGGGGTCATAAGTCCATTTAGGAAAAACACGCTTGTAGAGGTTCAGAAGCATTTTAGCTGTCCATCAAAGTGACACTTCATGTGACCATGGGTCCCTAGGCACAGAGCAGAAGAGGCCATCAACTGTCTCTCCTGCCTAGGAAGGGCAGGCCAGGTATGCACAGAGAGGCATCACATCCAGCCCAGCATCGCAGGGGCAAAAACCAAACCTACCTAATGGCTCCTTGATATGTCCCCTACGACCCCACTTCGTTCTCAACTCCACTGGCTTGAACCACATCACATCCTCTGGAGACCAAAACGCAAAAGGCAGGTAAGAAATAGACTTTCCTATGCAAGCTCAACCCCTCCCACAAGCAGCAAGAGTTCTGCCTCCACATCCCCTCTTCCCACCACACGGAGAAGAGCTGTACCTCTGTTAAAGAACATGTATCGCACTACAGCTGTCTTGGTAAAGATCTTGAAAGGATGGCCACTGAGCACCAGCCGCTTGATGACAATTCTGTCTGGGTCCACAGCAAGCAGAGAACCCGTGGCAACGAGATCATGCATTCCTGCAAGGCAGAGTCATTAATGCACCCGGGCAGCGCCACAGAACATGCCTCCATCGCCTCCCTCACCACGATGCCCTTCCCCGAATGTTCGTAGGCCAGGGCAACCCGCCCAGCAGGGACAGCAATAATCGACTTAGTCTTCTCAAACAGTGTAAAGTATGAAGGACGCACAGCTGGATACGTGCACTTGTAAGCCAGGTACAAGAAAACCCTGCTAACGTTTGTTTCCCAGACACCACCTCCTCAGCATTTACCAACTTACCATTACTTCTCTGTTTAAAAAGTAGCACTGAGGCAGGAGGGAAAGTGATAGGAGCATAAACAGTCACCACTAGAGCAGCATCTGGGCGCAGGAAACGCTCCAGCTTGTGTTTATCAGCTACGACAGAACAGCAATAATCAAGTTTAGTCCAAAAGCAGTCACCAGAGCTCTAGGAAATCCCATCAACCCCATCCTTCCCTGGCTCCCACTCACCCTGGCAGGCAGGCTTCGCTCAGCAGGGAAACAAGTCACAAGCACCACTCCCAAGCAGGGGCAGAGTATCTGGGGACCATGGTGATCCTCAGAGCTGCCAGCTCATTGCGTGGGGCCTGCCACCGCCCTGCCTGGACCACGGCCGCAGAGCCACACGTCCTCCTATTCCCCTGCTGCCTAGTGCCTCCCCTGGAAGCCTCAGAGCCTGAGGGTGTGTCTTCAGAAGAGTCCTTCAGCCAGGTTCAGACATTAAGGCTAAGACATCACAGGCTTCCTGCCATAGAAACCCCAGCCCCACTTCCCAGCTCACCCATTCCCTCCCCGCAGGCCCCTCACAAACCTGACGTGTGCTGAGAAAAGAGGGGGGAAGCTCGGAAGCGCCTGAACCCGCAGTGAAAGATCAGCTCCTCCTTTGCCTTTACCGGCTCACTGTTGCTTGGATGCCGCCGCACCAGGAAATTCAACACTGACATCTGCAGGAGAGGCAGCACTGTGAGGGGCCAACAGCAGGGCTGGCAAACAATGGTGGGCAGAGCAGAAAGCAATGGAAATCACAGCAAGGACAAACGCCCTCGACATTGGCTTCCCAGAAACTTTGCCCACCAGGTCCTGTGAACTACACACCTACGAGATACCAGCATGGCCATACCCACTCACCTTTTGTTCATGAGGAAGCAGTGAAAACAGGACTAGCGGCCTCCCATCTTTGAAGCTCTCTATCACTGAGACAGGCACATTGCAGACATGAAGCGTAACATACCAACCAACCTGCCAAGAGAGGATCAGTTATGAACATCTCTCTCAATAGAAAAGGTGTCAGGAGTAATACGTGTCTGGGTTAGAGAGGGAATCCAGGAAACAAACATTATCTGGGCTCGCGGCTTCAGGTTAAGCACCAGCTGGCTGAATGACCAACCATGCAGCCACTTCCTCGCCAAGTCTTTCCTTCTGGAAGGAGGGCAACACAGTAGGGGAAGAGGGAGAAATGCGACTGGCCAGCAGGAGAAAAGGGAACTACCGAAGCCCCTTCAGTCTCCTCTTTCTCTAGCTGCCTGAAGATGTGCTTTCTGGTTCGGGAGAAGTCCTGGAACTGGAAAATCCTGGCATAGTCCTTCGGGAGATTCTCTTTGGGGTCCCATGGAGAAGTCCTGAAGCTCTTGAGCCCTCTATACTTCTGGAACCTAAAGGATACACAACGGAAAAGATAAACTACTTCACAAATCTAGATGTCCTGCCAGCCTCTTCCACTCTCCTCAAGGTCTCACGTCCTCAGAGGAAGCAAAGGGAACAAAGCAAATTTTAGCCCTCTCAGGCCAAGACCTAGCTCCCCCTTCCCCAGGGAGCTGCACGCTGCCCAGGCCACCCGCTCCCCCCCCAGCAGTGCCTCCCCTGGAAGCCTCAGAGCCTAAGAGCGTGTCTCCAGAAGAGTCCTTCAGCCAGGTTCAGACATTATGGCTAAGACATCACAGGCTTCCTGCCCTATTTCACCAAACTCGACAGAAGGCCCCCTTCCAGCTCCACTCCCAGGAAAGGAGACAGTTTCTTACCTGACTCTGGCAGGCACGTCACGTGGCGTGTCCACCTCATCTGGAAACATTTCATCCATTCGCTCCTGCTTGTATCTCTCCAGCATCTGTTCCTCGTCCTCCTCCACTTTCTCGTCATAGTGGTCATCCCGCACACACTCGGACACAGTCATGGTCTCACACTCCTCCTCCTCCACAAGCTCCTCTTCCTCCTCACTGCCTTCCCCCTCCTGACGCACAGGACAACACAGAGCCCGTAAGCACACACACTGCTGATGTCTATGCAGCACTGCAAACTGTTTGCATATTTACACAGTGCGAAACATGGCCCAAGCCACTATGCAGTCACTCATTTTGTTATCTAACAGGCCAAAGCAGCAACACGATACAAATGATTGAGAATGAACTCTGAAAACCAGGCAGATCTTGACTTTGTTTTGTGCTCTTGCATGGCAAAAGCTGAAAGGACAGGACTGTCCTAGGACATAACAGCAGTGGCCTGGAGATCACCTGAAGTATCAGCTCTTGAAGGTACCTGGGAAGCTGCCTCTTCCATCATATCATCAATATCATCATCTTCCTCCTCCTCCTCCTCCTCTTCTTCACTGTCCTCTTCTCCATCATCCACAATCCAGGCAGCCTGGTATTTGGATGTGCCTTTGGGGACCTTCACCACCTTCCGGCCTGCCTTCAGAGAGGCTGTGGGATTCCCACCAACAATTAACGCAGGAACAGCCCTCCTTCCCCTCCGCAGCAGTTACACTAGGAGGGCCAAGAGCAGCTCTAGACAATAATCGCCATTTCCCAGGACAGAATTTGTCAGGGCCCAGGAAAGGCAGCAACATGTAACCCTGTTAACCTCGAGGGAAACCATGCGGCCTAGTGGTCAGGTGATGGGAGTAGGAAGGGAAATCATGAGGAAGGCCAGAGCTCCTGATCAGTGCATTTCTTCACAGCCCCCTCAGCCATCCCAGTGACACAGGGATTCTCACAACGCTCTTAACAGGGACACAGAAAAGGTACAGAAACACTGTTACTGCTCACCCTCTGCTTCTTGCAGTTCTTCTTCAGTAGGCCATGTCTGCTCCCCTTCCATAGGATCAGGGACCACTTCTGACTGCAAAGGCTCCTGCTTGGTAGCATCTGCCTTCATCAGGACCTTAACATCCTCCTCCATCTCATCAGCACCATTTACAGAGTCATCCTGAAGGGCAAAAGAACAGAACCCCCAGTTGCAAACACACCTAATTCAAGCTAGGGATCAGTCTGAAGTGAAGGACTAGCTCCTCCCACAACCTTCGCTACCAAAACTATCCCCACCCTGACAAATAAGAAACACAAACTCCCCTCAGCATAACGTCCATTATGTCATAACATCACAATGTTCATTACATGCTGTATCCAAGGAAGTCTCGGCTCACTGGCAGAACACAAGCCCACCTTCCCCCTCAATGCAACCCCCTTTTCCCCCCACCCTTGGCCACATACACCCAATCACACTTTCTTGATGAAAGTTTAGAAACATCGGGTTATAACGGGCAAGGCAAACGCCGACCACCAGCACACCTGTATATCCATGCCCTGACTCCTCTTCTGTCCTTTAACCACTCGGGGGTTCAAAGAAAGGGGGTCTGGGGGGGCATCCACCTGGCTCATCTGGAAGTCTCCATGTCCCACAATATGCACCAGGCTGTTCACACTGAGGGTCTGTCCCCGCACAAAGCCGGACACCTTCAAGGTCCCCACCAAGTCGCTCTCCTGACTGGGCACAAACTCGGCAGCATAGGCAAGCAGGTGAGCCCGTCTGTCCCGAAAAGCAA